GGAACAATGCGCCATCACGGCGCGGTGGATGCGATCCGAACTATTTATAATAAAGGTTTCTGTAATCAAATCAGCTTTTAAAATAGTTCTCCCAATGTCAATATTTTCATATATAATATCACAAGAGAAAAAATTTTGTCGGCAAAATTTTCGAAAGGTATGAAAGTTTGTTGCTTGGAAATTTCGCGAATGACAGTTTTGACAAAATCACGAGCCGTCAGGCGAGTGATTTTATCAAAAATGTCATGAGCGAAATTGCCGAAAAGCAACAAACTTGAATAAAACCTTGAGAACAATTTTGCCTACACAATTTTTTCTCGAGTGGTATTCGTCATGACTATTTCACGTAAGATTTTGAAAATAAATAGAATGCAAAATTATTAATAAAAACTTCAAATTAAAAATAGCAGTTTGACAATGTCAAAAGATGGTCACTGAAATACCATGTTGTTGGTATTGTCCAGGTAACATTATTGTCAGGTGAATACCGAATTTATTGCTGGGGGGGTTTATTTGAAACGTGCAATTCAAATACGTCTGACTAAGTCGCAATTTGTAAAGGTGAAATTCAAAAAAATGCACATGTGGCTTATTTGAAACTTTCTTCAACGTATTTTGCTAAATTCGTTGACGCAAGATTGCATTTGACATGCGTCACCCCTAGAGCTAGTGCATTTCCAAATTGCACGCGAAAGTTTCTTAAAAATTTCAGTTTAGTCGATAAAGAATATTCTTGGCCTCATGGAATTCGCAAATAATGTTAATTTAAATGCTCTAGAAAGGGTCGAATTGTATAACAATAACCGCAAAGGCTTCAGAAATCCAAGAATAGATGCATGCATTAACAATTCTTAGGTAATGACGGGGAATTAAAAAAAAAAACTTTCGGCTTTCAAAAGAATGTTTCGAGATTCCTTCCATGAAAAGGAGTTCAAAAATTTCCCCGACAAAAGGGCCGGATTTTTGTTCAAATATTCGACCGAGTGTTCTTTTTGTTTTTTGGTAACAAATCCGGACCTTCTCTTATTGGCACTTGCCCCCGCACTTTCCATCCTTTTTGCGGTATTGCCTTACACTTATAGAAAGAATGAAGAATGAACTAAGATTATCAACAAAAAAAACGAAAAACCTCCAACTAAACACGAAACTTTATGCTGAAATAATCAATTAGTTGTTGACGGTAAACAATTTCAAATTTGACATTTCAATGCATCGTTCCGTTTGGTCATATGAAATTTTTTAACAATGTCATTGGTTAGAATCTTTTACAGGACACGTTGCCAAGTTGAGTAGTGCAAATTTAAAAAGTCACGAATTACAAAATGCACAAGATTTCAAATAAGCCGATCGTGAATTTTTAGAATTCGTCGACGCGCATATTTCGACCGATTGAGTCGCATGTGAAAGATTTGCACAGATTTCAAATAAACCCCCCCTGGTGTAATACACTCTAGTGAAATAGTCAATATTATATTTGTTCGGACTTCAGTTTACAATTGAATTACGCTTTCGCATTTCTTTATATAGGCTTGATATGACCAAATGCGCAAGCGTAGTCTAATTTAAAACTGATTTTGAACTGTCCAAACAAACCTTTTTCCTCATTATAGTCATTATTGAATATTGACGGATTTTTCTTCCGAGTAGAGCAAAAACGGCCAAACTTCTTGTGTTTTGTGTAAAATCTTATTTTTTTTTTCGAATTTAGGAAACATTTATCTGGATTTAAAATGCACACCAACACCAAAACGAATTCTCATTCAGAACTATTTTGACATATTTTTTTTAAACATAGGTAACAGGTAAACTGCCAGAGATAAATACTATATAAACTGTCGAGAATGGAATCTCAATGTAAATTTTGTTGTCAACAAAATTGAGCCAAGTTAGCGCCATCTACCATATTGGAAACTCACTATTAACTGATTTTGCATCGACGCTACACACACCTACTTTACATAGGGCTTCAAGGCATTTTATGATAGATGGCGCCCTGTTCGCATTACAGTCGGTCTGTTCAAATTTTTTTATTCTAGATTTTGGGACATTAATGTTTGCTTAAATTAATTGATGTTTTGTTAATTAGATCAAAAGACAGTTCCTTTATCGATGGTTAAGGATATCCTTAACATATTTATTATTATTTCTTCAAAGTTCTGATTGATGTTTAATTGAACTTGTCATTAATCTAATCAACAAAGATATAGATCTCGATATAGATCTTCCAATCTATAAAGTTTAAAGGAAACACGCAAAACCACTTTGAAATCACTTAGAGACACTTGACAACACAAAGGAAGACGAAATGCAAAACCGGCGAAGGAAAATAGTTATTTACCTAACAAATGCGGAAAGTGATACCGCTTCGCGTCGTTCGGTCAACTGCCGTTGCGTGCGGTAAAGGCACTTTCCGCATGTGTTAGGTACAAAATTTTACCTATGAGCATCTACACCTCCAAAAAAAGCATTGATAAAATTAATTAATGAATCAGATTAATTAATGGAATAAGATTAAATTTAGAAAGGATCAAAAATCCTTTTTCTGAGAAAGAAAGGAATTTTGATTATAAATATCAAATTCTACTTTACCGCACACTATGCGGTAAAGTGGACTACAAAGTGTTCGGTAAAGTGCACTTTACCGCATACTATGCTGTAAAGTTAACTTTACCGCACACTAAGCTGTAAACTTACCTTTACCGCATAGTGTGCGGTAAAGTGATACTTACTTTCCATTGTCAAAAACGTGCGGTAAAGTGCACTTTACCGCACGCTCCTAGGTAAACATTATGAATTATTAGTTAGGATCAAATGAATATTTTGGCATATTTTCATATGTTGGCATGTCAATCTCACGTCAATGTTATCGACTTCGGACGTGTTGGTGTTCAGCGACATCTAGAAAAACGGAAAAGAGTTATTATGTGGTTTATTACTGGCAATAAGAGATCGCAGGGCCTGTAAACTGCCAAAGTAAACTCTGACATATTTTCTGGTGGCGTTCATTGTTGGTTCATTCCGCACCTGTAGTTCTGTTTCACTCCAGCGTCCCCAAGCGGATGCGATCCAAAGCTTTTTTTAGGCCCCTCCCTCCATTAAGCTTTTTTTTCTATCCGTGGGGATATGAGTTCTGTGATTTGACAATTTTTCAGAAGTAAATTAATCGGGCTTAACAGGGGCGTCAGATAAGCGCCAGCACGCCATCTTTTGGGCTTTATGACATACATAAAATATTTTTTAATCACAGGTGTTCAAATTCTCTGTAAGTGATTGACTAATTTACAAGTAAATAGCGACATCTTCAATATCAATTCGTTTACACAGTAATTTACAGTGGACTAAATAATTTTTTTTACTACTAACCTGAGAAATAGACATTATTCAATCTATTTTTCTAAGAAAAAATTGAATTTCTCTCCCTAGGTTAATAATGAAAATAATGAAAAAATACCTAGGTCAATAATGAAAATGACGTCATGACGCAAGGATATTGTCATGTTTCTATTGGTTCAATTTCAATTTCATACGTCAATTTGAAAAAAAATACAGGTTTCTGTAGGTACATAGGAAGTTATATAAGCTGTTGATAGAGGGCAGCACTTTCAAGAGGGCGTTCACAAAAAATAATTAGAACACAGATTTTAAACAAATTTTTAATTTTCTACTAGCAGTAGTAAAAAAAATTCTATATATTCCTCGGTAGAGAAAGTCATTGTATACCTCAAGCATTATAAACCTCGGCGCTGCGCGCCTCGGTTTATAAAAGCTTTCGGTATATAATGACCAACTTCTCTACCTAGGTACATAATATACTATTATTCAGATACAAATGAAATAATAGTATTTCACATTATTAGCTAGGTTAAACAGTTTTTACTGGCGTTTGGAAGAAGTTATTATGCTTCCCGAACTCAGCGACATCCTTTAGAGAAGCGCTGAACAAACGTTTGATTTGAGTCTTTGCTGAAAATGATAGCAATCACCTCTGTTTGACAGATTTTGATTAATTTTGTGATACAAAAATTATAATTTTCGAAAATTCTGTTCTATTAATTTTTTCCAGCATTTTACTATTCGAAATTTTGGACATTTATTGTCGGTGTGCTACTCTATATGTTTATCCCTTTTTCATTTAAATCCGTGACCAAAATTTGCATATTGTTGTCAACAAAATGGTAATAATTTTACTATTTAGAATGCGTATTTTGCAACCAAAAATGCTTGAACTTCTACTCCAATCTATTATTGTTATGAACATAGCTTCATTTCACTGAAAAGTGGTCTAAATTTGGAATTGAACAAGAATTAGTGAAGGTCTGTAAATGACATTTTATTTAAACCCCCCTCTTAAGTCAAGAATGAAGAAGAAGATCGAGTACCTAGTTTGAGATCAACAAGTAAATTAAGTGCAATGGAATAGTGATAATCGAGTATTAAAATGTACTTCCTATATGGTTTAATAGTTTTAAACCCAGTGAAATTCAAGATGATTGCCTCGACATATTTCAACCAGGAGATCTTGTTTCCTAGTCAGTCGAAAAAGCATCTGGCTGTAGAAGAAGCACATAAGGCCTATTCGGCTTTGGAAAAAGGACAGTTCTAGAACGGTTCAAAACAATCGTACAGCTTATTGATCAACAAAATAACAACGACTCGGCTATCACAAATTTCAATAATAAACTGTGCGATTCTTTTGGACCGTTCTAGAACCGTACTTTTTCCAAACCCGAATAGGCCCAATGTTTAGAAGTAAATGACAGTACGTCATTTTTTCAAAAATTGATTACTAGAACTGACTAGAACAATCTATGTGGGTATTTGTTTATGATGTTTCAAATAAAGTTCAGATAACAACTTCGAAGGGCTTTACATTTTTATGAACAAAATGCAATTCCTACATTTGTCCCGTTTTTCTCCCAACCTAGGCACCTTGTATACATATACCTTGTACTTTTTAAATCTTCTTTATTTCTCACGCTAATAACACAAAAATATTTCAGACCCAGCTTCGAGACAACCGCCAGTAAGCCATCAGTAACAACTCCAGCTTCGGAAATATCAGTTTCAACGTCTGAACTAACCACTCCAGCTTCGGAAATAATTAATTTGACTGGAACCCTTCGAGTACAATACAGTTGGCTGGGTCCGATTTTCGGTAATTGCGAACCTGGCAGTGTTGTGACAGGAGCAGTTTTCGTTTATACGATTTCTAGTTGCGCACTTTGCACCCTCTTTCAAATATCTACGAGGAGTTTGATGCAAGATGGCATTTGGTGGACTGTGATATTGGCCACTTTTTTCCTATTGGTCATGGCTGGAAGTAAGTTTATGATGATTCTAAGTTTAAGAAGTTAAGAACGTTCAAGAATGGAGGCTTTCACGGCCGAGAGTTCCATTGTAGTTACTGTTTTCTGCGCTTTTACGCAATGATCCATTGGTATAAAAGACATGTAAAATTTGCCATCGTGTGTCCTTTTAGAGGTGTAGGTGTAGGTAGGAATTCGATGTTGCTGCATGATTGATTTCTCTGGAACAGGGTCTATTTCAAGTTGAATGCTGGAGTTCATATTATGTTGCCGAGTACCTTCCTCATTTCCTACCTACCTACTACTTCTATGAAAAGAGTGAGCGTGCGAACACCAGCCAGCATCAATCTGCAGGGAGACACGACGTAGAAATCTTCGACGCCGAACGTCAGGGCTCAATAATCGCGGCTCATAGGCTCGGAAAACAGTAACGTCAATGACGTTACAAGGTTTGCCCCAATTTCATTAAGAATGGTTAATTTTTCATGTTACAGATGACTAATTCCTAATGAAATGATGTTTATTTTATTCTGGAAAGAATCTTCATTATTTGTAACTTGGAAAAAGATCCCAAATCTTGGCTTGAATTTCTTTGTACGTACAGGGTATTTGATTATATTTGGCACCATACCTACAGCCTTTACTATTTAAGATAGAAAAAAGTTGTAAATATAAAACTTGACAGTTTTTTTCTATATTTCCTTTTAACGTTATCAGAAAAAACTAAATCGCATCGGAAAATGGAGAAACGTAGACAACTTCGACTTTTTTAAATGAAACACCCTGTATATTTTGCGATAAAATGAAAGACCTTTTCTTCCTGATTACAAATATATATATGTTGATCAAATTTGCATGAGCCATTTTTGACATATCTGAGCTTAAATTATAACTAAATTGCAAAGAAATTTTATAAAAATAGAGATTCTTATGGAACTTCTCTGCAAATTCTTTATAATTTAACCTGAGATATGTCAAAAATTGCTCACGCAAATGTTATCAATATATATATATTTGGAATCAGAAAGAATAGATCTATCATTTTATCGCATAATATACAGGGTGGTCCATTGAAAAAGTCAAAGTTGCTTACGTTTCTCCATTTTCCGATGCGATTTTGTTTTTTCTGATAACGTTATCAGGAAATACAGAAAAAAACTGTCAAGTTTTGTATTTAAATTTCTTTTGTATCTTAAATAGTAAAGGCTGTAGGTATGGTGCCAAATATAATCAAATACCCTGTACAAATTCTTGAAATTTGGCGAGTGTACTGTACTTACTGTTAGTAAGAACTTGCTAACCCTTGTCTTTAAGCAAGCGTCATTATGTCAATTCTATATAGTAGAGATATCTAGCTAGAGATTACAAATAACGACGGCTTTTTTACAATAAGATCACGAATTATTCAATAAGGTTCAAACATATTCCTATTTTTATTCAATTAACCATCTTTCAGGTATGGTAGTAATCTGTGCTCACCATCAAAGTTCAGCATCACTCCGTTTCAAAGTACCCTTGGTACCATTCATACCAGCCTTAAGTATACTATTCAATATCGAATTTATGGTTCATTTGAATATTTTAACATGGTTGAGGTTTTTTATTTGGATGGTCGTAGGTATGCTAGTCTACTTCCTATATGGTATCCATCATAGTAAGGAAAGTGAAGGCAATTCCTCCTATTCCATATTGATGACTTCCCCAGAAGCTGTTAAAGAAAAATGGGGTGCTACCACAAAGACTAGCTTGAAAGCTGTTTTAACTAAAAGAAAAGCTTCGAATGGAGACAAAAGTGCAATTATCAAGGACTCCGATGGGGATAGTACTGATTAATTTTTGTTTTATTTATGATGGAAAATTAGACTGCTTTTGTATAGGGAAACTCTAGATAATTTTGCCTAAGCGCACGAGTAAATAAATATACCTAGGGTGTTCCATGATAGTTTATTTTATTCATTCTCAGGAAAAAATATTTAAAATATTATATAAACAAAGAGATATCAGATACTCACACCACGTTCGTCATATTGTCAGTAATATTGCATTGGAACATATCTCGCACAATCTCACTAAATAAATGAAAAATATTTTGGTCTTTAAATTAATTATTTAATATTTTTTGTTTATTATACTACATGTATAATGTATACCTTAATAATTACCCTTAAACGACACGAGATAATGTCTACAAATAAGATGTCCTAAACTTGTTATTAGGTATAGTTTCGATAAATTATATATAGGTACTTAGGTACCAATATTGTATGTTGTATGTATACATGATTTAGTTTATTCGAATGTTGAATGTACAAAGTATATACGATAAATAAAATTGCATTTGTATTTTCTTAGTAGTCACCTCCATCACATCAGCATCCCGTTTCCAAATAAACTACTCAACAATAGGTTCGTTCCAAGCATAAATTTCACCAATTTTTGAGACGCGCGACAACTTTTTTATAAATTAACGAAAAAATATGCCGTTTTGACCATTTTTGAAAGCGTTTCCTTTTCAATCACCTGCCTTACACAAAAAAATATAGAATTTGAGTATTTTTTTTATAGAGGGTGATATAGGTAGTGCGGTAAAAATTCAAAATTTTTGTTGCCACTCCATTTCTACAATTATTTTTATTTATTTTTTCTAGGCATATCCGAATAATTAGTGTTCATCCCTCGAACCTTTTTGGGATTTTTTCTTATATCTTTTTTTGTTTATAAAATAATGCAAATTTATTGTTAAACATACAAGGTGTGCGAGGATACCTTAGACCGAGGATACCTACTTTAAACTTGAAATTTCTAATTTTGCATAATTTTGCCATTTTCTACAGAAAAGAAAGTGGCAACGACGGAAATAGTTATTTGTGCAACCAGTTGGGAAAAGCACTATTTTTTGTAACGAACTGATTTCTGCGGAACGAGCAAAGCGAGTTCCGCAAAAGGAAGAGAGTTACGAAAAATAGTGTCTCCCAACGTGTTTCACACAATATTTTTTCTAATTTTGACCATGTGATCCTATTTAATTCAAGTTGAAAATATAAAAAACATACTTCGAATAATTATGTCTAATTGTCAAGCGTCAGGTGAGTTCAGAGATGTTTATTTGTCAAGTATTTCGTTTTTCGTTGCTACAGAAGCAATAGGGAACTTGACAAAAAATTTAAACATGAAAATATTACTATAAATCATAAGAATATATTAATTAAAACCTATATTAGCGAAATAATAGTATATTACAATCCGAGACGGGAAATGCTTCATTACTGGTCGAGAGGTTTTATAGTTTATCGAGACGCGTAGCGTCGAGATAAACTGAACCTCGAGACAGCAATGAAGTTTCCCGTCGAGGGTTGTATACTATTTTATTTTTAACCATAAATTCTTGAAAAAAAAAATCGGGGCAACCAAATGAGGTCGGCAAATGAAGAGGAAAATGAGAACGGGAAATATTTCCCGTCCTCACTTCCCGTCCTGGGACAGGTAATGGAGCAGGAAAATGAAAAGACAGAAATGTGACATTTTCAAATTTTTGAAAAGTCAGTAATGACAACATTTCATATATGGTTGAAAATAAACAATTTTTTTTTGTCGCAAACGGCCACAATAAGGAATTGAAAATACGAAAAAATTCAAATTATTTCCAGCGGGAAAAAACGCTCTGGAACTGGTCGCGACGTCGTCTAGTATGATCTGTCAGTGTCTGTCAGCAACCGTCCATCATACCGTGAGATCGTCTTGAAACACTGAGCTCTCGGAGCATTTTCCGTCTTTTTTCCTTATGATGAGAAGAACAGGGATAAAAGAACAAAACAGCAATTCCGAGCGTTTACTCGAACTCTACATACTAAATACCCGTTAGCTGTGTTTATTTACGTTTTTCTCTGATTTTTTAAAATTTTATCATATGAGAATTGGTTTACTTAGCTTAAATTCAATGATAAGCTCAGCATTATACAATCTGTAATTTGTGATATGTTTATAGTAGCAAAAGTTAGTATGTGCGAATCTTTTTTTCCATTATAAATTAAAAATTTACAACTCGCCGCAACCCAAAACAAAAACAAAACAAATAACAACATTAAAAACAAAAGTTACTGAATAAATTACATTTAAAATTTAAATTTGCCGCCTATTACGAATGATTTGAAAAAAAATGCCATCAATTTTAGCTTGTACTTATTGGGCAGAATAGAAATAATAAAATATTCACCTATTTACTTTCATCAATCAGAGAGAGAAAGTAAACAAACAAAAAGGATAGCAAGGATCAATCATTTAGTTACTTTTGTTTTTAATGTTGACAGCCCGCTAATAATTTTTGTTTTCTTCTTTTGGCAACTATGTTCGCGCACCGCAATATGGCGTCCAAACAAAAAGTCAATTTGCACTGACATTGAGCGTCAAGAATGAAACATCAAATCAGAGATACATCAAATTTACTACATCAAACTTAGATTATATATACCTAGTTACACTAAAAGATGAGTAATCAACTCCCAAATATGGTACAAAGATCTCTCTCCAAATATTTTGATTTTGTCTCTCTTACTTTGTTTACGCTGGTTTTCTATAGTACGATTTCCAAAAAACTGTTTAGATTTTGGATCTTTAGATATCTCTCTCTAAGGCAATATATAAACGAAAAGAACACTATACAAGTCTAGCTAAACAGAGTATATTGTTTGGGTGGTTCCCAATAGAAACCGATTTCCGTACCAGCGTAAATGTCAATATATATTATTGTGTGTTTATTTTATCGACTTTTTTGGGTGTTTCACTGCTTTAAAGTGGAATTGTTTAAAGATTTATCATTTACATGTTTATACATTTCGTGAAAGTTTCTTATTCAGGATTCAAAATGACTAATAAGTGTGCAGTGTGTCAGAAAAGAGGAAAACCAGCGGATTGTTTATCATTTCACCCGTTAGTAAACAAAACTTATGACATCGACATGATTGAAGGGGAAAAAATGCAGTGTCGGAGGTGGTAGGCCACAAAAATACAACATGGTACATATTTTAATTTTGTATTTCTATTTAACACTATTTTTTAGTATTCCGGATAATGTATGATATGGAAAAAACATGGTTAGGAGCATTAAATTTAAGATCCAGCTCAGTAAGCAAATGGACGTATGTTTGTGCAGACCATCTTAGCAGTGGAGACTATTTTCAAAAACTGATGCTAAAATGTTTAAAGCCCCTACTGTTCCTGTTGTTGCAAGCACCAGCGCTTCCAGAGTACTGTCCAGGTTGAGGGGTACTTGTCGAGGTACTCGTTCATAGGTTTAAGTATGTAAAAGAAAATCATTAATTTTGATTTTTTAAAAATCTATATTCGTGATTTGTTTGGACCCCTCAAGGAGGAATTAAACGTACTGGAATAATCTTCATTAATGGTGTTATGTCCACCATTCAATTGAATAAAACCAAAAGTTTGTCAACTTTCAAAAAGGGATGAAGTTCGGCTCAATTTGGAACTTGTCGGGAGCAAGAAATTAATTTTCATTTGGATTAATTTATCAACAAATTTATCAACAAATTTATAAACTGTCAACAAATGAACCATTGGTTGGCCAAGTAGTGGTTTGGTCTGCCTCTACTTTGACTACTAAACAGTGGTTAGTAGGCACTAGGTACTAAGTTTAAATCATACATGGCGTCCTTCATGGTGATTATTGTCACCATCATTCTGATGCTATAGTCAACTTAAAAAATATAGGTACTTATAGTACTTTTCCTAAGTACTCAATGGGTGGTATGAATAAAAATGAAGTAGGTTCCTACTACTACTACAAGTATAATTAGATATAATTTACTTAGTAGTCACTTTAAAAAGAAGGATTTACTAATTTCCGGTAGTTTCGAAATGTAGTATCTACTTCGTTTTAAAGTAAATAGGTACTACGGAGAATCTACTAATACTTGTAGTAGTAGCAGATACTGCGTTTTTATTCATATCACTCAGTATTCACTTGAAAGTTCAGTGCATTATATTTTCAGTATTTGCATTATTGATCAATTTGCTTTAAGTATATTTTTGTTGTCAGTAGCTACCTCAACTCTTGAAATATTATTATTAATATTCTGAATAAACATTGTTTTTTATCGTTCTGTTGTTAAAATTATTACAAAGCTACCCTTTTTTGATACAAATCCCCAAAAAATTAAAAAAAAAAAATCTAACAAAATATTAGATCTGTTTCTGCAGAAATCACAAACCAGTCCACCAGATCAGAGTGAATTTCATTGGTTGAAACTAGTTTTCTGACTGTTCCTGACTGTTTCCAACCAATGAAATTCGCTCTGACTGGTTTGTGATTTCTGCAGAAACAGACCTATTGTTTTGGTCCCATCTCTTTTTTTTTTTCTTGGAAACAGTCCAGTATGCTTTCAGTTTACGTGCTCGAATTTATCATTTTTAAAACTACCTTTTTCTGAAATTAAATATACATATATTTCAAAAAATGATTTTTTAATAGGTACGCTTATGGGAGCCTTTGCTTCTAATAAAATACCTCTACGTATTTCTTGGGAATACGTAGAGATTCTTAACACATGTTTGTGCCACCTTGCTCCAATGCTTTTAGATAGGGCGTTACCTATCTTGTCACGTTAGTAGATATTAAATCTATGACATCAAACCACCATCAAACAATGTAAACAAGTCTGTGACAATGTCACATGTCACACGATTCACACGACGCCACACGTCGTTGAACTGTTGAATTTAGCTGTCATTTTGAGCAGCGTTGCCAGATGGTCATCGGCTTGAATACTATTGGTCGCCGCTGTGGCGCTAAATTCAAATTACAGTTTGTTTTTCTGTTACTAATTCTATAGACACTATGCCGGAAAATAATTTAGTATTCCACTATACCATCACCATTCAGCCTATAAAATAAGGTCGAGCAGATTTTTTACTGATTTTTATACATAGTATACTACCCCATTGTCTTATATTTGCTTGTAATATTAACGAAAAGCATAATGCCTTGAAATCCGGACTCTAAAATAAATTATTCCTAAGAAGTCAAAAAGCAAATATTGTCACAACTACCCGCTTTACGGGGGTGACATGGGGGGTTTGTAGCTTTGGGGGTAGATGGAGAGAAACTCGCTCAGGTTATATAAAAATATATGCTATATATTTTCCCAAATATAACCTTACATGTATGCTAATCCTATAAAATACATGACCCTTCGTACACTGGGGTCCTTATAGGGGGCCACACGTCAATTCTGCTTGGGGGACTGTAGATAAGTTTATCGTCACCCTTATGCCTTGTCCAGAGGGGCGTTCCCAACGAGAGGTAATTGCACTGGACAACGATAAGGCTG